ATTTATTCATGCATATTTTCAACTCTACAGTTTACTGAAGCAGGATGCTAAATTATGCTATTTCCATCCTAAGTGTTGTTCTATGAAATGAATATGATGCATAATTATGGAAATTATATTGGCAATTAGTTCAGGGTAGTGCTGTAGTCTACATAAGTTAATTTTTAATACATAGTTCAATTCAATTCAATGTTTTAACAAACTTGATACTTCCTTAATCTTAATATTTATGTGGGTAGAATGGTCTTTCTAATCACTAAATGATAGATATGGATGATATTGATCCTGAGAATTGGTAAACAAAGACAAGGGATTTACTTTGACTACTTTTACATTCATCTTTTATCTGAAATATTGCATCTTTGAGACAGTTATTCAAATCCTACTTGTATTCTTAATTGGCTTTACTAAGTAGTACATGTCTGTTTGGTGATTAACATAAATCAGATATAATTGAATGTAGGCAAATATTATCAAAATATCATAATCTAATTATTCATTCCTTTCTCTGAGGGCATTTTTTTCTAACAAGAAGTTAAAGTTCTTTTGTTCTTTCCTATTTTAATTCCTATCACAGTAGAATTTATTTGCTAATTAGAGCAAACATATATATCATTGCAAAGGACATTACTTTATCATAAGCTTTTCATTACTCTGAGAGTAATTCATTAAAAAGTAATCCAAGGTTATTCACTCACTCTGTTACAATGCTCATTTTTTTCTTTTTTTAAAAATTCTTTATTAATTACACCTTATTCACTTTGTATCCCCCCTGTGTTTCTCTCCCTCCTCCTGTCCCAATCCTTTCCTTCCTCCACCCTTTGCATGCATGCCTCTCCCCAAGTCCACTGATAGGGGAGGTCTTCTTTTCCTTCCTTCTGATCCTAGTCAATTATGTCTCATCAGGTGTGGCTGCATTGCATTCATCACATTCGAAGGAATGGATTCTGATTATAAATGCCCACTTCTTAGATAGTCCTTAGATTTCTCTTGAAGAAGTTGATTTAGAATGAAACGCTAAATGTTAATTTAAAAATAAACATTAAGAATAATAGGTTGATAGGGGAGGTCCTCTTCTCCTTCCTGCTGATCTTAGTCTATCAGATCACATCAGGAGTGGCTGCATTGTCATCTTCTGTGGCCTGGTAAAGCTATCAGTGGACTTGGGAAGGGGCATGCGTGAAGAAGAGGGAGGGAGGGTGGGATAGGGATGGGAGGAGGGAGGCGCTTATGGGGGGATACAAAGTGAATAAAGTGTCATTAATAAAAAAAAGAATAATAGGTTGTACAAATTTTGCTTATAACTTGTTACATTAGTTACAAAATATATTGAAATTCCTGGATTGCAGATTGCTCAATAGTCCAAGTAGGGCATTTTGTTTAATATAAATATGAAAATTAGAAACAGTTGATAATGAATTATAGGTAGGTTTGATGTAGTCAAGGATACTTCTTTAAACTGTTGTACAATAGATTTTTACAAAACAAGTTTGTTTTGTAGATTTGTAGATTTGTTTTTGTAGATTGTAGATTTTTACAAAACAAGTTTATGTTACAGTGGTTATCAGAAAAGTTTTGATTTTTCTTGTGTGTTTATATGTTTGTGTGTGTACATGAGTGTCCCAAAGCACACTGTAGAATTTAGAGAACAACATCTTGCATAAGTTGGTTCTCACTCTTCACTATTTAAGACCTGGGGATAGAATTCAGAAAATCAGATTCCACAGCTGCCCTTACCTGATGAACTATATTATTAGATGAATGATGTTATACCTAAATCTAAAAGTAAATAAAGAAAAATAATTGGTTCATTTACAAGATAATTTTTGCTCTTCTACCTTTACTCCATATTAGTAATGCAGTAAATTGAAATAAATGCACATAATCTCTATTTGGAAAAGTAACTGAAGAAATTACTCACAGATTTCATTGTCTATTTATATCATGAAAAATTTATTGTAATTTTTCATTCTGTTGAAAAAAAAGAGAAACAGAAATGATTAATAGCACTGATTTTAAATTCTGTTACTTGTGAAATTATAACATACTGTTTTAACTGTTTTAGCTTTATTCTTGACATTGGGATAAAAGAGCAAATGCAAGTTAGGAGAGAAAGTATTTTACTTCAACTGGCAATCCTGGGTTACCATTCATGATTGTGGGGGGTCAAGGCAAGAATGTCAACGGCTAGTCACATCACACCCATAGTCAAGAACATGGAGAGTTGAATGCACACAGAAAGATATTAGTCTCCTTGCTCTCAGCTCAATGTCTCAAGCCTTACAAAGTTTAGGATTGCTGACTGGAAATGGTTCCAACCACAGTGGCAGCGTTTTTATACATCAATTAAATTAATTAGGAAAACTCCTCCACCCACATACTTCCACAGGGTAACCAAGATAGAGAATTCCTCATTGAGGCTCCCTTCCCACCAAAGACTATAGGTTCTATAGAGTTGAAAAAGAAGCTAAATATCAATTTCTGCCTCCTTTTCCTATCGGTATATAAGCACATTGATTTTTAAGCCAGAACCTTTCACCCTCGGTCCCACAAGTCTCACATTTTAAATGTAAATGACACAACATTAAAATGTAAGTCTCTTTTAAAGTGCAGGATCTCTTTTAAAAGTCAAGTCTCTTAACTGTGCCCTCCAATGAAATAAAAACAATTTATGCAACTTATGGTTGCACAGAACAATATTCTTCCAAAGGCAAAGAAACAGGGCAATTCAAAAAGCTTTCAGATCAAGGCAAAACCAAATGTCAAGTCCTTTAGCTCAAAGGCGAGCATCTGGCGCTCACCTGGGATCCAAGGAGCTTGTGCAGCCCCGGATCTCCAGGTCTGTCACTGGCAACCCGGCAGAGATGCCACGCCTGCAGCTCACCTTGGCAGATAGCCCATCGTATGGCTATTTCCAATTTCCTAGGGTGTCTGTTCCGACTGAAGTTTCACCTTCACAGTTCCGCACAAGCTTCCTGAAGCCTCTCCACAGGGTCTTCGAACATGCCACACACTGCCAGTCAGCCTCTCTCTATGACACCCTCGTTCTGGCATTTTTCAGGACTTCAAAACCAGCCCCATGCAGGTAGTAGTTACATTTCAAAGTCCTGCTGCCAGCTCAGTATCTAGCCTGGCCCTTTGGATCCCAGCAGTACCGGCTTCTATTTGCGGACTCCAAGAAACCCTTTTCTACTGTCCCAAGAAAATACATTAGCTGCTGCTTTAGAGATGTTATAGTTTTACACAATCACAGCTACTTCTTTAGCAGTAGCCAGATCAACACAGACTCTTGTCCAGAATGTCACTTGAGAAGCCTTTATATCTGCTACTCAGACACTTAGTTCTCCTCTAAAATCTCATGAGCATCTAATTTCTTTTTGCATTCTTATCTTCCAGACTCCAGCTATAGCATTTTCAGCCCAACATTTGGACTTCATTCACAAAATAATTCCAATTCCACAAGGCCCAGTGCATCAAAGTGAAGGCTTCACTTCCTCAGTATCAATTTTTGTTCTAGTTTCATTGATTTTGCGGTGATAAAACTACCTGAGAATAAGCTACATGGGGGGAGAAATTATACTTCTGCTTACACTTTTAGGTTACAGTCTATCATTGTGGGAAAATAAAAGCAGAAATTTCACACAGCTCTTCACGGTCAATAACAGGCAGAACTGTATGCTTTTATGTCCCTTTGCTTGCCTGCTTGTTCTCTACCTCAGTCTCTGTGTTTCTATGCAGTTCAGCGTTTCTTCCTTCAGAATGGTTCCCTTCACTTTGTGCTCATTTCAAGTTACTTAAAAGTCCCCCAACGACACTGTAGAAAAATCCCTTATTGAGGCTCTTACTATGTGATTCTCAGTGTGTCATGTTGGCAATTAAAGCCATCTAACGCACATGCTCCGTTAACAGCGAGATTGTTCGGTGAGGTATATGAATAATAATGCACATCTCAAAAACTGTCTTAGGAATCCTTCACATTTTCTCAGTTGTCTTCAGGAGAGATGTTCTGTGTAGCAGAATCACAGGCATATCGATATCAGAATGCCAGAGAACACCAATGTTGTCATAGTATTTATCAGATATTATAACCAAGTGTTATTTCTTAGGTCAACTGACATTATTATACTACATTTAAATTTTCAGGGACTTAATTATAGATATTATAAATACCATAATTGTAATGCAATCAAAGCTTATATAATTTTATTTTATGTTTCTGTAAGTGGTCTATTTATCTAAAGATTATGTATATATTTGTATATATTATGTATATATTTGTGCACCTTTTTAAATAGATGTTCTTAAAATGAAAACATTCTTAGATGGCAGATACAGAAAATACCAAATTTATGCTCTATGACTGGACATACACAAACAAAAATTTTATTTGAGTAAATTATGTATATTTATAAAAATACATCAAGCATGTATTCCCCATGGGGAGATGGGGAACGATTAAGAATTCTCCCTGTTCATACTGAGAAACCGAGGTCAGCTTTGAGCGCCTTTATAAGATGGTGGACCACTGTATGTCACTTCTGTTTCAGAGAATCCGAGAACTTCCCCCTCTTTCCCTCTCTCTTTTTTTCTCTGTCTCTAAAACATGCACCCCTCAAAAATAAATTAAAAATGCACATCAAGATAAAAGAGCACAAATATTATTATAAATCACAATGTAATTTTTTAAGTTAGTAAAACAAGATCGCTTTGCACTTAAGCAGTAGTCATAATTGGTACTAGGACACAATATGCTCTGAAAGTCAGAGGAAGCTTGGAGCAGATTTCTTCTTACGTTCATAATTTCCCATACCTAAAATTTGGAAGTCTGGCCTCGAGAACCAGCCGAATGAACAGCTGTTGTTTAGAGCCAGTGTGCAGTGTTTCCTTAGAGCAATAGTCAGAGAGTTTGTACATAATTCTGTTTGCTAAACCTTCTTTTAACTCTAAAGAAGCTGTTTCTAATACATTTTATTTATTTTACAGGGACCAAAGGTGAGTCTTTATTGAAGGGGATGAGGGGGGAGGAGTTGGGTGGCACGGGTACCAGGCCGGTTGTTCTTCACGGGCTTGTAGGCGACAGAGAACTCGCCCAGGTAGTGGCTGATCATCTCTGGGTTAAACTCCACCTGGTTGAAGGTCTTGCCGTTGTACATACCCAACATCTTGGGCAGGATAATCATGTCCCTCAGGTGGGTCTTCACCACCTTCGGCTTCTCCCTGGGCGAAGCCTCCCTCTTGGCCTTTCCCAAGCCCTTGAGAAGGGATTGCTGCTTCCACCGCAGGGGCAGGCTCTGGTTCAGCCGGCGTGGCCTGTACAGCTGCATCGGCTGCTCAGTGGACATGTCCAGCTGCTGGTTCAGGTCCACGCCATGGTAGGTAAATTTGTGGAAGGTCCGCTTCTTCTGCTCCATTTCAGGCGTCTCACTGGCTGTTCGGAAAAGAAAGCCTTGGCTGTGTCGGCCTCTAATATATTTAAATGTGTCCATATAATACCTAATAAAGACCTTAACAAAATGATAATGTAATTAAAGTTCCTATTCTTTAATATGGCTCTTGCATACATTAATGCTTCTTATGAACATAAATTAGCATTTGATAATGTATTATGTATACATAATATAATAAACACATCTATAAGTCTATTTTAAAAATTTAAATAAAAATAGTTTAAAGCTATACATACAACAGTTTACAGGATAACTATTCAGAAGAGAGGTTTATGTAATGACAGTGAAAAAGAGATAGAAAAATATGTCATTTAGATTTGCAAATGAAAAAAAAAAATGTTTTCAAAGTACTATGTGTTTTACATTTTGTTAGCCAACTTTTAACACAGACTTAGTGATCGTCTACACCAAGAAAAAAATTGTACCAGTTGTTTGGTACATAGGTTCAAGTTTGCAAAGCCATTTCAGAAATATCAGGTCAGTGCAGAACACAGGATTCCTATAGTTTATTGTCCGACTCGGTGATATGATAAAGCAAGGCTCATACAACTCATCAGTTCCTCCCAAAAAGGAACCAGGCTTATATTTCTAATGTGGAGTCTAATGGTTGCCTCGACTCCTTGACTAGTCTTTTGAATCATTTTCATCATTAGTATTTGGTAAAAAACACTTCAAAAAAGTACTTGAGATGGGTTTTTTAAAGCTCTCAAACCTCGCTGTTGCTGCACTGGGAACCCGTTTGCTCTGTGTCAGTACTTGAAGCTGTCTGCTGCATAATGCGTGGAGTGAGGGAATCAATATTGTCTTCACGATGTCCACACTTGGGATGAAGACCAGTGCTGCAAGGACTTTGCAGGTGATCAGACACCTAAGCAACCCAAATCATGTGAAGTTGAACCAGTCCAAAATGACGGAGTCACAGGATTGTTATAAGGGCTTAATCTCTCTCTCTCTTTGTGTGTGTGAGTGTATTTTCCTAAGGAATGACAATTTGGCATTGGATACACCTACAACACAATTCCTGCACCCAAGGCTCAGGGATCATTGTAGAAGAGGGGTAGAAAGATTATTAAGAACCAGAGGAATAGAGAGTTTGCAGTGAGATTGGGTCTTCTATGAAAGCCAGGTCCTACACCCATAAAATCTCACCAAGATGACTTCCCAAATAAGCTGAGCAAGGACAACAATAGAATTCAACTCAGCCACATCTTCATGCGAGTAAGCAATGATGTTATTTTCTTCATCAAACCATGAAAGTACACTGCAGAAAATACAGATACATTGAAAATCTAAGTAGATGGTAATATTAGGAGGAGGAAAAAGCTGGTGGAGAATGTGATCAAAGTACATTAAGTACACATGAACATGTTATGATGAAATTCACTCATGTATAAAATTAATATACGCTAGCGTTTTAACAGAGCTACACAATTTAAACGTTTCCAATTCCCAGAAGAATGTTTGTCTAGCAGTGAAAACATTTCACTGATAAAGACATGACAATGACTATGTAGAGTTACACAAATCAAGGAGAAGGCACATTGCTTTTAATTTCAGAATATTTGTAATGGGAATTTATTGCAGTATCTCTAAGACCTATACAGAAAAAAATACACTGCAAAGTTCTTATTGGCACATGCTCGAGGGTTGGCCTGCACTAAAGTCTGGAATGAAAGACACTCTAGGCATACACTTTCTAAAAGGGGAATAATTGAATATTATGAATGAATAAATAAAAATACATTTGAAAAGCTTAAATAATTTAATGAAATTAAAATTGAAAATTAAGAAATTAATTATAGATTATTATAGGGCATTAAGATACAGCAATTTTTTTAAGCAATGAGAAGTAATAAGAGACATTAATCAAATCCAAAAAGGATTTTAAAAAATGGATCTAGAGGGCTTGCTTTGCAGTTCTAGCAGGGAAGCACAGCTACTGTGTACTGGGACCTCCTCCATTCAGGGAAGGCCAACATTTTAGACTGAGGAGGGACTCAGATGAGGGAAAAGGGAACACCTGCCTATCCAGCCATATCAGCCCACTCAATCCTGGTGACCAGAGGAGTGACAGATGTCACAGAGGGCCAAGTTGATGTGAGTGGCTTGCATTGACATTGAAGGCTATGATGGTGTCAGTGGCCAATGCTGCTGTAGAGGGCTGTGTTGATGGCTGTGGTTTGTATACTGCTTCACAGGGGCAGAGCTGATGAAGACTCGCAGTTGAGAAAGAGAGACATAGAAAGCTTTTGTGACAATCCCTATACCACCTCCCTCTAAAATGCAACAGCCTAGACAGAAAATCATCCAAGAGAAGTCTTAAAACTTGTGATAAAGATAATGAAGGGTACTTCTTTATAATTAATGGCTTCCAGTAAGGGTACAGGTGGGAAAGAATTCAGTTTTCATTAAGGGGCTGGCACCTCAAGTGAGTATATGGCAACACAGTTGTACTTGCTTTTCTTCTTCTTCTTCTTCTTCTTCTTCTTCTTCTTCTTCTTCTTCTTCTTCTTCTTCTTCTTCTTCCTCCTCCTCCTCCTCCTCCTCCTCCTCCTCCTCCTCCTTCTCCTCCTCTTCCTCTTTCTCCTCCTCCTCCTCCTTCTTCTTTTGGTGGGGGAGGCACAAGGCTTGGGCAGTGGACCTGGGAATACTGGGAGGTGAGTGGAATCATTGTTCATGTTGTGAAAATCTCAAATAATCAATAAAAATATTATGTATATAAAAATTCCTTTTCATCCAAAGGTAATGGCAGTTGCTAAACAAGACTTGAGACTTGAGGTACATCTCCAGAGTCCACATAAAGGTTTAAGGAGAGAATTGATTCTAAAAAAAAATGGTTCTCTGACACCCACATGTATACCATAGAACAGGTAAACCTGTACATACACATCATGCATGCACATATCAATACTTTTAAAGTTAAACAAGATATAATGAATGATTTTTATCTTGCTATGTGTATGCTAGCATACATATACTTAAGCAACCAGTCTGAAAGAAAATGATAAATTTCCATAAGTTAATGATGCTTTAAATGAATGTTGCATTTTTAATTTAATTCTTTTTATTGTTTTTAATTTAATTTTATTTATATATTTATTTATTGAAATTTATTCACTTTGTATCCCGATTACAGCCCCCTCCCTCCTCTCCACCTAGTCATACCTACCCTCTCTCTTCTCCTCTTATGCCCTTTCCCTATTCCCCTGATAGGGGAAGACCTCCTCTTCTTCTATCTGACCCTAGCCCATCAGGTCTCATATAGGCTGGATTCATCATCTTCCTCTGTGGCCTGACAAGGCTGCACACTTCCCCCTAGGGGAGGTAATCAAAGAACCAGCCAATGAGTTCATGTCATAGACAACCCCTGTACCCCTTACTAGGGAATCCACTTGGGAACTTAGCAGCCAATGGGCTTCCTTTGAACAGAGTGTCAGGTCCTCTCCATGCATGGTCGTTAGTTGGAGTATCGGTCTCTGCATACACATTGGGCCCAGGTATTTTGACTCTGTTGTTCTCCTTGTGGAGTTCCTTTACCCTCCAGGTCTTTCTATCTCCCTCTTCTTCCATAAAGATTCCAAAACTCAGCCCAAAGTCTGGCTATGATCTCAATATCTTCTTTGATACCCTGGTGGGTAGAGTCTTTCAGAGGCTCTCTGTGGAAAGCTTTTGTCCTGTTCCTTGTCTTCTCCTACTTTCAATGTCTATTCTGTTTGCCCTTCTGAATGAGAATTAAGCATCTTCCCTAGGGTCCTCCTTGATGTTTAGCTTCATTAGGACTGTAGATGTTAGTATGTTTATCCAATATTATATGGCTAATATTCACTTATAAGTGAGCGTATACCATATATGTCTTTCTGCTTCTGGGTTACATTGCTTAGAATGATCTTTTTTAGTTCCCACCATTTGCCTGCAAATTTCATGATTTCCTCATTTTTAATTGCTGAGTAGTATTACATTGTGTAAATGTACCACACTTTCTGTATCCAAAACCATACAATGGAAAAAATATATCATCTTCAACAAATGGTCCTGGTCTAACCGGATGTCTACATGTAGAAAAACGCAAATGCACTCATATTTATCACCTGCACGAAGTTAAACTGTGAGTGGATCAAAGACTTAAACATAAAACCAGACACACTAAATCTGTTAGAAAAAAAAGTGGCAAAGAGTATTGAACTTATTGGCACAGGAGACAACTTTCTGAACAGAACACCAATAGCACAGGCTCTTAGAGAAACAACCAATAAATGGTACCTCATGAAACTGAAAAGCTTCTGTAAAGCAAAAGACACTGTCATCAGAAAAAAACGACTGCCTACAGATTGGGAAAGAATCTTCCCCAAACCTGTATCTGACAGAGGGTTAATATCGCTGAGACTTATGGCCAACTGTCGGGCAGAGTGAATGGAATCTTATGTAAGAAGTGGGAAATAGTAAGAGCTGGAGAAGATGGGAACCCCACAAGGAGAGCAACAGAACCAGAAAATTTGAACACAGGGAACTTTCCAGAGACTCATACTCCAACCAAGGACTATTCATGGAGATAACCTAGAACCCCTGCACAGATGTAGCACATGACAGTTTAGTGTCCAAGTAGGTTACATAATAATGGGAAGAGGGACTGCTTCTGAAATGAACTGATTGGCCTGCTCTTTGATCACCTCCCCCTGAGTGGGGAGCAGCCTTACCAGGCCACAGAGGAAGACAATGCAGGCACTCCTGATGAGATCTGATAGACTAAGATCAGAAGGAAGGAGAGGAGGACCTCCCCTATCAGTGGACTTGGGGAGGGGCATGCATGAAGAAGAGAATGGAAGGGTGGGAACGGGAGGGGAGGAGGGAGGGCTTTATGGGGGGGATACAAAGTGAATAAAGTGTAATTAACAAAAAATAAAAAAGAATGTTAAAAAATATCCAGAATACATAAAGAACTGAAAAAGTTAAGCACTGATGAA